GAAAATAAATTAAAGTTTCGAAACAACAACAAACTAAAAGCAGCGCCAGATTACAACGTCAGACAGGGATGGAAGCATGCGGAAGAGGAGGAAGCAGGAGGCGGAAAACAGGAGGCAGGGGGCAGGGAGCAAGTGCAATTGCCACAAGTGTACAATATGAAGAGCTTTATGTAGGTGGACAACGCGCGACAAGGAAAAACTTTGGAACTTTGTTAAATAAACGCAAGAAATTTGCATAAAATTGACAGCGAAAATTTTGTTAGCCACCGCATAATGGCTGCTTGGAGCAGCTGTAAACAGCTCGTAAAAGTAATTACAGCTGCCGCGGACCGAGGGCGGGCCTCAGAGGCGGGGGTGTTGGCTGGTGTCACAAACGGCCAGGCCTCCGACTGTCTAATGTGTGCGGGTGTGTGTGTGCATGTGTGTGTGGAGAGTCACTAATTATAGGCAACTTAAACGCAACTAATTTTCACACTTGGAAAATGATTAAAACTCCATTTGTGCTCGAGTGCGTGTGAGTGTGTGTGTGTGTGTGAGAGAGGGAAGCAACAGCGCACAGGCTGAGCAACCAGCTCAGCACCTTGGCTAATTAATATTAATTGAATTTGTTGGTCAAGCGTGCGTCTGCGAGTGCGACTCCTGCAAGCGTGTGTGCGTGTGTTTGTGCGTGGCAATCCGCACAGCTGTTGTGCCATTGAAGTGGAATTGGAAATGGAAGCCAAATAGGAAACGAAGAAGAGACACAAAGGTGCATATAAAGTTCACACCAACTGATGAGCAGCTAATGCCGTCTGCCGGTCACGAAAGGCTAAGGTGGAAGGAAGCGTGTGCCCCACATCGCAGCTGAGTTCCAGGCAATTATAGTTCAATTATTGGCCGGCGTGAGCGAGGTGAGCGAGACATATTGGCGGATCTCATCCTTCGCCGGCCCGGGGTCAGCTGTGATCCAGATCAGAATCGGCAGCGGGATCGGGGCACGGTCATCCAGTTGTCCAGCTGACAGTTGGCAAATTGCGACCGGGCACCCACATCAGTTGTCAGTTGCCAAATGCTTCGAGTGTCTGGAATTCCCACAGTCTATGTGAGATATCTCAGGACCCCAGCAGTTGTCTGACATGAGAAGATTTATCTAATTATAAAATAATAACAGCATCATTTCGAATAGGTTTTCATAATCTTTTATTTCATAATTTATTACAATTGAAAATTATGTTCAATATTTTCTCATAATTCATAATTTCTTTTTTCCCACCTTCCTCTTCCTTCAAGTTGTTGTTCTATTTACCTCTTCAATATGCTCATAATCTTAGGGTTTCTGTTTTTATTTCTTTACATAGAAGCTTCAATTAGTTTATTAAGTTAATGATACTTTTTTGTGTTTTTTTAATATAATTAAGTTTACTTTTTTTAATCCATTGTTTTCATGTTTTCTTTTTCTTTGTTTGTTTAATCCTAGGAATTTAGTTAAAGTTAATTTTTACACGCACAAACATTTATTTAATTTATTTCATATAAATATATTATTATAATTTTTAGTTTTTTCTTCTTTTTTTTTTTTGCATTTTTATTGCAACTTTTTAGAGTTAGTTCTCTCTCGTTTACTAACTCTTATCTGACGCACACACAGTCTATCCCTTTCGCTCACTCGTTCGCTCATTCGTTCGCTCGCTCGCTCGCTCTCTCTATCTATGTCTCCTGTGTTGCTGTCTCGTTTGCTCTGCTATTTGTTCCGATGCTGTCGCGTGGGTAAGTTGAAAGTTGTATAAATTGTTTGTGCCCTTTTAGTCTATGCTCAGGGTTTGCATTTGCTTCGGTGATTACCAACTAGCATTAAATACAGTTTTAATAATAATATTCTCATATTGTTGTTTCGTTTTCTGGTTTCTTTTCTGTTTATAATGCATGCGCTATTTACAAAATATTTTCAATGAGAGGCTATCAAAAATGTACAATATTTATTAAATATACGTATGTATGTATGTAAATATAATCATCGTAATAAATGTTGCTGTTGTCCTTAATAATCATATTAAATATTTACGGCGTATACATTAAAGTTTCGAGAAAAATCACATTTTAATTTAAATTCTGATACGAAAAGAGTTGAAACATAAAAAGCATATTACAAATTATCTCATATACAATATGTATTCATTTGTAATTGTTGATAGCATTTATTTCTAATATTCTTTTTATTTATTTTTTAGCATAATTTAACGCTTATCAACACTGACACATAACGGGCACTTTCAAAATGCCAAGCAAGCGGTCACCAAGATACAAAATAATTGAGTTTTCTAAATTACCTTCATCTAGATTCACTCTTAACATCGTCTTTTAGCGGTTTCAATTTACAAGCGTTCAATGGAAATACTCTTCGGGTAGCATGCCGACTTCTCCTAGAGATACTAATATAAAATGTTGGAAAATTAAGAGCAGTTTTCAAGATCAGAAAACGAACTACGCAAAAGTTTTTACACTCTCCGAGAGTTTTTTTTTTTTTTTTCGCATCAACATGTTAACATCTGGATTTTCGCCATTTCCATCGAATTGCCTTTGGTTCCTTTGCTTAAGATGTACATTACTAAATTAATTATGTATGTCTCTGTTTTTTTTTTTTTTTTTTTNAATAATATATCTAGTAATTCATAGTTTATATTCTATATATATATATAGACTCGTATACTTCATTCGCTTATTCCATGCTTTGGTTTTACTTTTTTAGTTTTCTTTTTAAGGCGTTCTGTACAATTTGCGTTTAATCGTTTCTCAAGTCAATAGTGTTGATTATTTAACTAGCGTTAAGTCTAATATATTACTATCAATGCATAAATCGTATAATTTTTTTTTTTTTTTTTTTTTTTTTTTTTTTTTTTTTTAGAGAAAACATTTGCATTTTGCTTGATTCTTTTCGTTATAGGGCTTGCAAAAAAACATTCGCCTTTAGCAATTTGTAAATAAGTTTTCTATTCGTGCGAAACAATAGCATAATTTATATTTATGTAGTAATGGTGTATTCTTTGAGAAGATTCGTATACGTTTTAAGTGATTGTTTCGACAGTAGTCAGTAGGTAGTGTCTGCTAATGAAATTAGGAGTTTCCATGCGAAAGAAGCTCTCTCGATCTTAATTAAGTTAAGATAATTAAAGTTAAGTTAAATGATCTCTGCGTTTCATTCATTGAGCTCGAGAACAAAAATATTCCTAGGTACTCACAATTTTTACACTTGTTTCAGTATGATCCAAAATGAAATACAACACTTAAATGTTCAGTTTGTTTCTCTTCCTCATTTACGTATATCCGTTACGATTTTAGATTGTTATATACTCTAAAAACTGTGTAAATTCAATTTAAACGCACTTGTGCTTGAATTCAGTTCAATTTTATAAATTTAAACAATATTTTGCAACTTATTTTGAATAAATTCTATGCCTGTGTGTGTGTGTGTGTGTGGGTGTCTGTCTGTATCCGATACAGGGATTCAATTGAGAGCAATTGAAGCTGCTGAAAAGTTGAAACCATTTGAAAACGAAATGAAATTGAAATAAAAAGACCAGAAATCGTATTTTTACAATTGTTTTTCATATATGCATTTTACTCTTATTTTCATCATTTAATCATCATTCACGTTTTTATAATTAAATCATTAATTAAGTAAATGTAATAATAATAATAATAGTAACTAAATATAACGCATACAAATTAAAATACATAAATAAAAATACAATTTAAAATTATTTATAATTTATTATTATTTATATCTGTATCTGTATTGTGTATGTGTATATGTATGCTTATATGTGTATGTATGTATGTGTGTGTGTGTGTGTGCATTCATCTTTAGATTTATTTATGTATATATATGTGATCGATTGATTTATTTATTTTCTTGGAAATAATACTACAAATACACACAAGAAGAACCAAAGTATTTAAATCAACTTCAAAATATTTTTGTTTTTAATTCAACATTTTTTGTTTGCTTTTCCAAATTAAATTCAATTTCTTATGATTTTTTTCATTTCTGTTTTTGTTTTTTCACTTAAGTTTTGCAATGCGTAAAATTAGAAAACAATTCAATTTATTTAAATTAGAGCGTTTAACCTAGAATATAAGACATAGGCATATACATAAGTAAATAGTTGGTAATTAATGTATGAATTAGGTTTAATTAGTTGCCGTTGCTGTTTACTATATATGTATATATATACACTTGTATGCATACGTAAAAACAATGCTAAACACTAACTAATAAAAAAAGAACAAAAGCGTTTACTACAACTGACTTGTTATAAGTGTAATTTAAAAAGAAACTAAACTCTAGCAAAGAATTTTTCGTTCTGTTTATTTGTGTGTGTGTGTGTGTTTTTATTTTTGCAATTTTCTTTTTCCTCTGCGATTTTCCGGGCGGCGCATTTACTAAATTCATGTTAAATAACAACAAATAAACAAACAAAAAATAAAACAAAACTAGCTCGCCAAGCAAATCAAATCGCTTTAGCCTAATTTGTAAATTCTATTTCGTTTTGGATTGCGCCTAAATTCATGCTTTGAAATATATTTTTGCATTTGCCTTTTGTAGCTTTTCGAAAGTAAAAATTTGCATAAATCAAATGTAATTAGCAAGCTTTCGTTGCTCTCTCTCTCTCTCTCTCTCTCAATCTCGCTGTGTGTGTGAGTGTGTGTGTGTGTCTGGCTTCTGTTTTGTTTATTTAACTTATATCTAAGCGTTTCATTTTTGTTTATGCATAAATATCTTTCTCTTCTTCATATATATATTTTGTTTGCTTTTATTATTTATTTTGTTGCATGTGTAGTTGTTATGTATGTTTAAGGTATACACAAATAGTTTCTTTCAAAATTGTTGCTGTTGTTGTTGCTGCTGCTGCTGCAGCTGCTGCTCTGGATGCTAGTGATACTGTTGTTGCGCCTGCCTTTCGATTAGCTAATATCTTCTGTGTATTGTTTTGTGTTTTCTTTTTTTGTTTATTTTTTTTTCTTTTTTTGTTTTTTAGATTTTACTACAGTTTTTACTTCATCTATTACTTGACTGATATTGCCACTCGGTTTTTGTAAGTTACACGGTTCAAGGGTCCTGGCCACTGTCTGTCTCTGTCCTCGCCTCTGCATTCGCTCTGCTTTAGTATTGTTGTAGTTGTAGGTTTAAGCTATGATTTTGGCTTTGTCGCTTTGTCAGCGTGCTTCTCAACATCCGCTTACGGGCACGCTCAGCCATTGCCCTCCACTTCCGCTGTCGCTGCTGCTGCTGCCGCTGCTGCTGCTGCCACTGCCGCCGCCGCCGCCGCTTCTGCTTGGGTTTGGATGTGGGTGTAGGATCCTGCTGAGGCTTCCGCAGTCGCGCCGTGTCCGTTGCCGGCGCTGGATTACAAGTGCTGTCCATAGTATTCGGCGGGCGGGTAGTGCGGATAGCCTTGATGGAAGCCCGGATCACCGGGCGGACGATGCATCATGTGCGCCTGGCTGTCCATCATGTAGCCCATGGCATCGTGACCATAACCGGAGGGACCTGGATGCGGTGTATAAACTGTTGAGAGTTGCATTCGCCCAAAAAAGAGAAATAGAGGAAAAGAGAAAAAAATGCGCATAATTAGAAATTGCGTGCGAAATTAGACAAAGCTTCTAATTGATATTTATTTGCTCTGCGCTATTTCATAGTTATGGATATTTTTTTGGTCATATTTGTAGCGTGGAGATTGGATATTTACCTGCTCGGTTCGATTGATCAATCATTGGCTGCACAATTCTTCGTCGCGCATTGATAAACCTGTGAAAGAGTCGAGCAAAGATTTTTGTTTTAGTTTTTAATTAAGCGCAAGACAGCGACAGGATTTATGAATTATTTATAAACTATTTCAGTGACGGCTGCTGCTGCGGCTGCTGGCGACTGCAGGGATTTGCAGCAGCCTGCTTTATGTGCGCAACTTAGCCATAAACTAAACCAAATCTTGGCCAGAGTCACACTTTTTGCTGCGACGGTCGGGCCACATCAATGGCAAGTGGCGGAGTGGGGGAGAGCCTCGACTCGGCAACAGAGCTGGGGAAATGGAATGGCCGGCTTTACAAAGCCCAATGCCGACTTTGGTTATGATTGTCGTTTAATAAATGCAATAAGAAATAATAAGCAGGCAGTTGCTGCGCTGCCGTCGCTGATCCGCTGCGTGAAGGATCAGCGACGAAAAGGCCAAAGAAATGAAATGATTAAAGCAAAAAGCCGCCATCGCCACAGCCAGCTCAGCGGAGTGACAGTCGGTTACCCACATGGGTTGACACACACGCACACACACTCGAATAGTAAGTATGAAAAAAAGAAAGAAAAAGAAATACACAGCCTAAAATAATAACAAGCCTCTCAGACATTAGCCAAAAACAACAATGAGCTAACCTCATTGAAAGTTAGCCGAGGTTAATGCTCCGAAAGCTTCCGCTGAAATCCTTTACTCATATTACATATATACATATATATCTCTTTACTAAGGATTGGTTTGCGTTTTTCTTCTCTTTTTTTTTCAATTTGCAGTTCATTTCAGTTGCTCATTTTGAGGCGGAAATTGTTGCAACGCCCTGAAATCGTTTATCAAAACGACAAAATGGAATTGAGTTCCGTTGCGTTTTTGGAACAGTTCAAGAGACAGCCAGCAGAAGTCAGAGTGAAAGAGAGAGAGAGAGAGAGAGAGAGAGCAAATGTGAGAGGATGTAAGCTGCAAATCGATTTGGCCGCTGGCTGCTGACTTGATTGGCTGCCTCCTTGGCCATCCGCGCTCTGTGGCGTGTGGCAGGCAGTTGATGCTTTCAGCTTTCAGCTACCAGGCAGACCCACATTCGCATTCCGTATTCCACACTCCCGTATGCCAGGTCCCACATTAATGTCCAGCGCAATAACAACAATACAGCTGAGCAGCGCATTTGCAGCGTTATTTATGTACTTACGCCACAATTATAACTTTTTTCCAGCTCTGCAGCTGTAAGTAAGCGTTAATATTTAAAACTTGGCTACAACAGAAAACTTTTTCGATTACCGCCGTAAGCAGAAACTGAATCTCAAGCCAGACTGTGCCTGTGCCTCTCCAGCATTTCTTTCTTATTCCTATTGGGTGTTAATGGACTTTTACTCTCTCCCATGCAGTCTCTCTCACTCTCTCATGCTCCCCTCTCACTCTCGTCGTGGTCATTTGAATTGCTGCTTACGCAGTTTCTTTCATTCTGTTTGCCCCGCAAATTGCGCAAAATAAATACACATTTAGTCCGGTGCTGTGTGGTGGATGGCGGGTGGGGGGCACCACCCGATGCCATTGGCCATTCCCCATGGATTAGTGCTTTGGCGAAGGTGTCGTCTGCCAGCCCATAAATAACCAAAAGTGTCAACATTTTATTTTGCTATTTTCTGCTAAGGTTGTTGCCTTTTCTCTCTCTCTCTCTCTCTCTCTCTTTCTTTTCTTCATCTATTACTTCTTTTTTTGTCCTGCTGTCTCCGCTGCCTCCGCTCGTCCGTCTTATCGCTGTTGTCTACGCAGCGTTGCGTGCTTAAGCGAAATGGGCAAGGGATCCCTGCAAGTCCTTGCTAGTCCTTGCCAGCCCTGGCCGTCGTATTTGTTAATTTGCAGTGTGCTTCAGTAAGCGCGAAATTCAATTTAATTGAGCTGAGTGCCTGCGTTAGAGCAGCCACCACTACAGCACGCCACCCAACAGCCCCAACCCGCTCCAGGCGGGCCCCAAATGCGGCTCACACATTTCTCGCTAGATTTTATTATGGCCTGTCCCTGCTTAAAAGCATTCCATGGCCCAGACATGGGGCCAGCAACTGCATAAAAGATTCAGCAACGCTTTTAACTGGCGCTCAAGCTTTTCAGCTCCAACCCACTTCCCACTCGCTCCCCCTCTCTCTCTCTCGCTCTGCTTTGCCCATTCTCAAATCTGACTGCATTTTGTGCATCCATTGGCTTGTCTTGTCTTCTGCATTGGCTGCCAGGTGTCAAGTTCTGCAGCCTGTCGCATAATGTGCAAAATTTGATGAAGTCGCCTGCTCGGCCTGAGAGCCTGCCACATTGGCTAGGATTTGTGCGGCTGTCATTGTCCCGTTGCCAGCAACATCGTCGTGCCACATGCTACATAACTTTCTCTACCACATCTCATGGACCCAGGCATGCTTCAGCTGCTCAAGCTGCTCAAGCTCTTTGCCTTATAAATTGGTTCGGCCTGCTCGCTGTAAGCTGATACCTTGAGCTGTCTGACTCTGGGTTCCAGCTGCCCATAAAGCGTGCAACAAATGGCCTGGCCTGCATGCGAGTCGTGTGGCACAGCCAACGCGAATCTGCCTGCAGATCGAGATGCACTGGCCCACAGATCTCTGGCTATGCTTGCTATCAATCCATGATCAGCTTATCTATTATCTATTATCCCAAGTCATCTTCGTACTTACCAATTGTTAACTTGCAGTATCGTCAGGCCAGTATCCTGCGCCAACTGTTTTTTTTGGTCCTCGGATGGGTAGGGATGCTGCAACGAGAGAAACGGAAATCGAAAGCTCAATTAATACATGAACAGCGCTCACAATTCAATTAGCAGGGCAAATGCTAGAAGATTTACAATCTGGCAAGTGGAGCTACGCCGATCAATCATGGCGAGGGCTGCTCCAACGGGCATATAAACAATAATATATGGAGAAATTTAACCTGTCAGCGCACGGCGCTGCTGCACTTGAACCAACTGGGCAGGAAGGGGTAAACTGTGCTTTATTTATTTTGCTTTTGGTTTTGGTGTTGCTCTCGGGGCTGGTTTTGCTTATCTGAATCTGTGGCCAGTGAGTGGCTCGCTTATCAGGCGCTGCCACTCAAAATGTCCTCAATTTGCTGCAGCTCATTTTTCGGTAGCGCCAAATAGGCAAACAGAAACTGAAACTGAAACTGAAACAGAACTGCAGTTGCGACTGGGGCTGGCCGAAGCTTCTCATAAATCTTGCAGCCGGCGCGCCGCCACAGTGGCGTCACTGGGCAAATAGAAGCCGACGCCCCTCCCACTAGCAGCACCTCCGCCTCCTGCGCGCTTGGCTCGCTCTGCGGCTAATCTAATCGGCTGGCGCTTATTACAATTTTCTATTTTTGTTTTATTTGCTGTTGTCGTCGCTTGATTTCTAATGTTGACTCAATGCGAGTTTGTGCCGCAGCCAGCCTGAGGTTTCACCTGGCGCTGACGGAAATGGCTGTCAATCTTTTGGCTTTGGCTTTGCTTTCGCCTTTTGTTTTGTTTGACGCGATCCTTTGGCGCATGCGTCGCTTGGCCTGGCATTGTTTAACCCCTTTCTGGCGATGCGGCCAACATTTCCGGCAGCTGTGGGCGTTTCAATTTTGGCACTCGTCAGGGCACTGCCTCAATTCCCAACGACTCCTGCTCGTCTGTCTCTGCGTCCGTCTGTCTGTCCGTCTGTGTATTGTGATTTTGCGGTTGCCGGCAATTGAACTTTTGAGCGATGTGCGGCACGGCGCTCTCGCAGTTGTCTGCAAATGCAATTTGCCTTTACACACAGGAAGCAATTGTTGTGCCACTGCTGCTGAAATTTACCGTTTTCTTAGCCACACACTCACACACATGGCAATGCAATATATGGACTGTCACTTGTATACAGATGCAGGTATATATATATATATAGTTATATACTAAATTACATATATATAGATATATATATAGTTGTTGTATTTTGTGCATTCSGTATTCAATATGCAAGTGCTCAAGTGCCAGGAATTTCGAATGCCATGCGAAATGTGCAACGCAGCACATCCTTGTCGCTTGTCTTGCTATCCACTGTCCGTCTCTCCGTCCGTCTCTGTGTCCGCTTGGCCTGCATGTCCTGCGTAATGTCTGTAATGCAATTTAGTTGCCTTGTTGTCCTTGCACATCCGTGCACACCCATTCTGGCCTGTCGTCTGTCGCTCCGCCCGCCGCCTCCTCCTGCTCCTCCTGCTCCTCTAATGCATTCGCCTTATTGTTTGTGTTTAATAAATTTTGCGTGTTGTCTTGTTGTAGATATTGTGTATGCATCTTAGGGTCTCGCTCTGTCTCTCTCCCTCTCCCTCACTCACTCACTGTATTTACGTGTTGGCTGCCCGGCAGCAATATTTGTTTGCTGTCCTGCACAGGCCACGCGCCACGCCCACCACGCCGCCGCTCAGCTCTTGACAATAGCCAATACGAAAACTAGTATATGAAATTTGTGTATTGACAAATAAACGTAGATGTCCATGTAAATGCAATGGACATGCCAATGGCAATGTTCCCAGACCCAGACCTGCAACTGCTGCTCCTGCTGCTGCACCTCGTCTCCAGGAGGTTAGAAAATGCTCAAGAAGTCAAAAGGCATAAATTACATGCAGGTAAATTAAAATGGAATTTATAGCATACTTTGTGGCGTTCATCTCTTTAGAGAAATGCTTTTACCCGGAGCTGAATGTGCATATGCATATGGCTGGCTGAGGTTGGCATTATTGCACTGCCTGATATATATGTATATAGTAGGCAATGCCTTACTCTCTATATATCTCTCTCTCTCTTTCTGTCTCTGTCTCGGTCAGCCAGTAGTTCATTATCATCCTGTCTGTGGCTTATCAAAGGCGCATTAATGCCTGTCGCAGTTCGCGCTGCTCCGATTTGGCCGCCTACTCCTGCTGCTGCTGCAAATGCAGCTGCAGCTGCTGAAGGTGGCTCCATCAGCAGCTACGCTGTGGTGCGCCAATTACGCTAATGTAAGTAATTATGCATTTCGTACACCACACATCCCCCACCCTCTCTACTCACACACACACGCACACACAACTATCGACAGACAGAGAGACAGACGGTGCAGCTAACCAAGCAGGCGAGTGCAAACATGTCAAGTGAAACAAAGTCCATTTGGTTTATTAATTTACCATACGACAAAATAATTAATTACTGTCACGCCTTTAAGTTGCTTTTGCCATGTCGCCGCCTCGCATTCTCCCCCCTCAGCCCGTCAGCACTGGCCATGTCTTCTTGGGCTTGCCTCCGCCTCCTGCTGCTGCCGCTGCTGCTGCTGCTGCTGCTGCTGCTGCTTGGCTTCGCCTAGGGGCAGGGGCCACTGTTTTTGCCATTGTCTGCTTGTCGCTTAACTCGCTCCACTTTTTCCACATATTTTCGCTCGTGTTGTGTTTATTTAAACTTGGCAAATGAATTTAAAGCAATCACCACACACAAACGCACACACACACACAGACGTTCATTTAGGTGCCAGCCCTTCAGCTCCCCCTCAAGAGATGTCGACAAGTGCCAGCAAACCTCGGGCATAGGCCTATGTCTCGATTGCGGCCTGTAGCTTTCTCTCTCGCGCCCTCTCTCTGTCCCTCTCTCTTACTCACTCACTCTGCTCTGGCTGGCCACATGATGTCAACATGACTGCAATGCCGTGACACATGGCACAACAAGCCCAAGACGTCGACTCCGGCTCTGGCTCTGGCTCGGTAATGCACACGTACAACCGGCCAGAGACGCCGCCGCCGCCATTAACAACGCCAAATGCGACGCCATTTGTGAAACAAGCAACAACAGCAACAGCCGCCACTGCAAATTGCTGCGACGTCGGTGAAAATTGCAACGGCGTCGACGTCGGCCTGTGGCAGCCATTATGAAGATTTTTTCCAGTTGCACTCATGTCTAAACAGAGCCAAATGAGTGTTTCCACTCCAGTGAAAAGCGAGATAGCATGGCAGGCCAAGAGGGAGACAGACAGAGAGAAAGAGGGTAGAGGTGGAAGTAGAGCTGGAGCTGAAGATGGAGGTAAAGCTAGAGCTAAAGCTAAAGGTAGAGGTGGAAGCAGAGGTAGAGGTAGAGGTAGAGGTAGAGGTAGAGGTAGAGGCAGAGGTAGAGGTAGAGGTAGAGGTAGAGGTAGAGGTAGAGGTAGAGGTAGAGGTAGTGTTAGTGGTAGAGATATAGTGGAGCTAAAAGAGAGGCAGAGCTAGAGGAACTACACTAATCGCAACTTTGTCCTCATACTCAAAGTCGTCGGCGTCATCATGTTGCAGCAACACAAACACAGACGCAGCAAAAGAAACAAAACAAATGTAAAAGAAAAATAATTTGCAACAATCGCGAGTCAAAGCACACATACACACACACAGAAGAGATGCCCTACGGCCACCGTATGTGTGTGTGTGTCAAAAGGGTCAAGAAACTGACAAAGGTAGGAGAACTGCGCAGAGCCTACGAGAGGCCGCGGGCAAGGGTTAAAGTGCCGCACTTGGTACTTTCCTTTTTTTTAACCCCTGCCGACATGGGTTATAATGGATGCGCCTAAATAGTAGCCGGGCTCGCGGCACACATCGTCAACGTCAGGCGTAGCGCATCTTGAGTTCGTCTTGGCCCGGCTCGCTAAACATGCCACACACCAAGCGCCGTCGCGCCTCCTGGGCTGAAACATGTAACATGAGAGCGCTGACAACAATGCAACGCTTGCAGCGCAACGTTTTGGCCATTTTGCAGCAATTTTTTCGGGGTTACTTTTGCAGTGGGCCGACAACGGCAACAAACTGAATCGAAGAGCCGAGGCCGACGAGCGGACGAGCGTCGGCCGGAAGAAACTTGCGCATGGAAAGAGCTGCATGGGAGCTGGGCATATGTGTGTGACTGGCAACGGCAAAGGGGAAATGGAAAGGGGAAGGGGAAGGGGGAGGGGAAGGGGAAGGGGAACCGTACGGGGCACATGTGGCAGGCAGCGAGTAGGCGGAGCACGCGAAATGCGACTTTTTGCTCGTTGCCTGCAGTGCGCGCCAAATGTAAACAAAATATTCGCGCGCCTGCCATAATTATGGCAACAGCAACAACAACAACAACGGCAACAGCAACAACAACGTTTACAAAGCAGCCATGCATTGCATTGCCCTCGTCTGCTTGGCTTTTGTTTTTGGTTGGCCAGCCAGTGCGCTTAACCCAACCCCAGACGGGCTGCAGCTGCAGTGGGAACTCCCTTTGCCCCTAGCTCCCCCCTGCGCCGACAGTCAACTGCAGCAATGCACTTCATTAGCACCAACGTCATCGTCGTCGTCGTCGTCTTATTTGGGGTCTGGTTTTTAACGACTTTAGCAACGCCATCGTCGCCATGGCCAGCAGGCGACGCCATACGCCATACGCCATCCGCATGGCAATGGCTGACGAGCTGGCATCGAGTTTCACTTGGCAGCCGATGTCTGGAAAACTGTTAATTATGCCAATGGAAATCGGAATTGGAAGCAGAGTCAGAGTCAGAGACGGAGTAAGAGTCGGAGTCGGAGTCGGATTCGGGCGATAAATCAAATTGGCAAACATTGCATTTGCATTATCTAAATGCGACTCGGCATACAAAAGAACTTTAAGATCGAACAAAAACAATTTCCCTAATGTGCCCAAACTGTTAATGGCATTAAGCTCTTAGAGCTGGAAGCCGGCAAGCAGAGAGAGGAGGAAAAACAAAAAAATCAGCCAAGGATATATGCAGACATCCGCCAGAGGCTGTGAAAGTCGAGCCGCAATCAGACGGAGCAGACGACGGAGCAGACGGCGACGCCTTAGCCGAGCAAACATGAGCGATGCGCTGATTTAAACGGCAATCCATCAATGTCAGAGGCGGGTGGCTGTGGGTTGGGTGGGTGGCTTGGTGTGTGTGTGTGGCGCTAGCCTAATGGGGGTGGCGATGCGCCAGGCTAAGCCATTTTAAAACTCAAGACTCGCTGCTGGACCAGAGCAGAGATAAACATTCCAGCGTCAAACTTCAACTTTAATTTCCGATTTGTTTGCTTATCGTGGCTTGGTCAGTCGTTAGCTCACACACAAACACACACACACATGCACACACACATACATGTGCACACACTTTTACAAAATTCCATTTAGATTTTTATCATTTTACATACGCAGCAACCGCAAAGCGAAGGGCGAATGTGGCTAATGGCCAAAACTGTGGCGCAGCAGTTTGAACTTCCTTAACAGTCGCTTGACCGTAGCGCATAAAATCTTATAGTTCTGTTTGTGCCCATTTTCTATTCACTTTTTTCTTAGCCTTTTTCTGCTGTACAACCCTTGCACGCAGCGTCCTCCTCCTCCTGCTCCTGCTCCTGCTCCTGCTCCGGCTACTGCTTAACATAAAGTGGCGCATAACAAATCTGTTTATTTGTATTACACATCCGGCTGGCCGGACTTTCCGCTCTGAGCTTTGATTTGGTCAGGTCTCCGTTTCAATAGTTGGCCGGCTGCTGGCCATTTGGTTTTAGTGCCGCATTTTGGGACAGTCCGCATGCCATTTATCTGAGCGCTTTGATGGCTCAAATGGAAATCTAATTGGACGCATTGAGCAGGCCATAAGCCAAGGCCCAACTGGCAACCTGGCCCAAATGCCCATTCGGCTGCTGGCCCTTCTTTGCCTAGTCCACTCTCCAAACACTGAGATAAGCAGCCGAATGACTTTATAAATTCCGGCGTAGTCAACTGAGTACGCCGGAGTGGATCATCAATTTCTACTTATCATCGGGCTGGAGGGGGCACTTTGCATTGCCACGCCCACCGTAACTAAAACAGCTATTGGGCCAACTAATCTTATCGCCGTGGCCAAAACTCAAATATGGCTCCACTAAGCCCTTATCAGCCGAATGTAGCTGCAGATTGCGATAAGATGTGGGCAGAGCAGCAGCTCTGATTGGTGTTTCGCAGGTGTATCGCTGCTGATTGGACTTACCGTTAAGTGCTGAAACAGCCACGCTCTCAATATGTTTGTCGCCACTTTTGGGAAAATGCCACGCTTCTTTTGGTTCTTTTTGCCGCTCGCATCGTCGTCCTCCTCGCCGGTGCCCTCGCCGCTGCCTATGCTTGCGTTGCTGGCGTCACCTGTGTGTGTGGATGAGAGAAGAGAAGAAGAGATGCAGAAGTTACGTTTAGTCAGCTTCTAAATGAGCAACAACAACAACAACAACAGCAACAACAACAACAGCCACAGCACAACAATGTCAATATTGTCAGAGCACTAGCTCAGCAATTCTGTTTGCTTGCAGTTGTTGTTCACAATGTTTGTCAAGTGAGCATAAAATAACATTACTTGTCTCTGGCCAGGCCAAGAGCAGCCCGTCCAGCCAGCCAGTCAGCCAGCCATACAGCCTCCTGCTGCTTAAACATAATGATAATCATATGGATGACATTGTTTGTGGCTGCCGTTTAAGACAAGTCAAATCAGTGCTGGGCCAGCCCCTCCCCTTGCCCCCTTTGCTGGCTTTGCTCGTTGTGGTTTATAAACAAAATTAATATTTGTCATACGCAGTCTTTGGCTTTGGCTTTGGCTTTGGCCTCAGCTTCAGCTTCAGCTTCAGCTTCAGCTTCGGCTTCGGCTTTGGCTTTGCCTTTTGGTAATGTTCATGCATAATTTTCGGTTAATTTAAATTTTCTGGGGCTTTTATCTTTTGTTTGCATGGGAACAATCCAACATCCCCCCACACCAGAGGCGCTTCCGCTATGGCATTTGTTTTCCCTGTTTTCGGCATCATCACCATCATCATGATCTTCATCATCGTCATCATCATCATAACCGGCAGCCACATCATATGATTTTGTATATTTTTGTTTAATATTAAGTATGTTATTTGTGTGTTTACTTTAAGTTTTAGTTACACTTAAGTAACTCAAATGCCTTCTTCTTCTTCTTCCTCTGCTTCTTCTTCTTCTTGTTCTACCTCCGCTGCTGCTGCCTCAAACAGGAAGCCCCAAATGGCTGCGCACATGCAAACAAAATAAACCAGGTCCACAGTACCCTACGAACTGTGCCTGCTCCAATATTGCATAATTTCACGCCCCCTCCCACTCAGCTACCCCCCCCCCCCCCACACTCTTCCTCGCCGCACACACCCGAGTGTGCCAAAACAAATATTTCCCAACACCAAACATGGTGCGTCTATGAATGTCTAACTTGGAGGCGAGCTTCTATGACAGCGAGTTCCTCTCCCTGCGGTCGCTTCATAAATTTTCCATGCTTTATCTTTCGCACAACACCTTTGCTGGCCACAGCCCACCCCCACCCCCCTCTCCATCCACGGCCGCCGCCTCTCACCTGTAGCTGCTTGGCCCGCTGGCTTTTCATTAATTTTTCAGTTAACTCATTCATTAATTTTCAACAGCCCAGCAACACTCTGAACAATTTTCACAGTAGCACATGCCCAAAACACACACACACACACACTCACACTCACACACACCCATACACATTCTCATGGTGGCAGACTTCACGCCATTTTGCGTAAACCGGAAGTTCGTTTTGATTAATTTAGTCGCCGATGGAGACGTTTGTTGAGTGCTCGACTGCATGGCCAGCCGTGTGGTTGATTTTCTAAACACGACCATAAAACAAAAGCAGCAAAAAACAAACTCAAACTGAATGCCGAATGCTCTACACATAAGTCTTGTATATCTAATGGAAAAACAAACAAGATTCGTAGCGCTAGGCAAATGATATCGGCCTCTGATTTCGAGTTCACTTTGAAGAGTCGAACTTTTGTTTAAACTCCTCAAGGAAGTGAGCATAGGAAACTCTCGCAAGTGTATGCAGCAAAGGTTATAAAATTAATTTACCAGAAACAAACAAACAAACAACCAAACAACAAAAAGTCGGAAACAAAAGAATACCCCAAAAGGCACACTTGTTGGCCATTTGGATGGGGCCGCGCCTTTCCACTAAGCTGCGTGGAGCGCTCTGCATAATTTAGCAATTATGGAAATGCGTGATTGCGATGGTATTTCGCTCTGGCCAGTCAAGGAAGCTGACGTCGACGTCGACGCTGACTCCGACTCCGAGTCTGATGCGAGCAGTCAGCGAAGCTGGAATTGGAGCCCATTATGGATGCAGTTGCTCTTGCGCTTGTGCTTATCGGGCGAGCTGCACTTTAGGCAGGGCGCATTGAGCAACTAGCTGCTGGCACTTAACAACTTCATTAAAAGTTGTTTATGATCCTCGAAATTGATTATTCCACTCATACGTAAAGCGTCCCCAGACGCAGCACCAGACGAAGACGAAGACGAAGACGATGAGGTAGAGGCAGAGGCAGAGGCAGAGGCGGCATCGTTCGCGAAGCACTCAAATCGCGCCGGGCGCGCGCTTAAGAAAACATGAAATTGATTAATGCATTTGGCTGCAACATTGAGGCACATCCACAGAGCAGCAGAGGTGGGGAGGAGCCGGTGCTGCTGCTGCGGCTGCTGCTGTTGCTGGCGGAATGCTGGTGCCGTCGGTATCTGCTGCTGATATGTAAATTCCTTCAAGTGGATTGCACTTTGCGCCAAAGACTCTCGACTCTCGACTCTTGCCTCTCGCCTCTCACCACTCTTCACTCTCCACACTCGAATCGAAGTCATTTCTTTGGCTGTGTGCTCCAATTTTACATTCGATTCGTGGCAGGGATCTGGCAAACCAAAACACACAATTAATCTTTGCCCAGCGACGCGGCTGCTTATTATTGTTATAATAACGATGTGCAAAAGCACTTGTGGCACTTGAGCGGCGGCACACTCGTGTAACAGAGATTGGGCCAGCTCGGACTGGAACTGGGAATGGGACTGCGACTGCGACTGGGACTGGGTAGCTGCTCGGCCAAAGTGCTTTTTGTTGTAGCACTTGCTATGCGGGACGATAAAGCGCCGCGTATTTTCCTCATTTCTTTCGTTTTTTAATTGAATTGTTAAGCGCAGCGCAAAACTTAATTAATTTTCACTATAACTTTGGCGACTTTATGGAAGCAGCCCTTAGACCCCAGGCCCAGGCCCAGGCCCAGTCCCTGCCCCTACCCCTACCCCTGCACCCTCTTCTCTGACATTCCCTAAATAAGTTTGCGTTGGGCAAATAAATTCGATTCCGTCGCAATTTTCGTTACCATTGCCATTGCCCACTGCCACCGAGAGGGGGCATCGGTGGGGGTGAGGGTGGAGGTGTGGGTATTGGGGGTGAGCTAACAAGCATTTTTATTTATTATTGGCTTAAAGCGCCGGCGACGCCAGGACGAAGCACAAAGGATGCAGGAGCCACTGCGTCTTTGCCGCAGACACACTGACAGACAGACAGACAGACAGACGTATGTTGTTATTATTGCAAGGCAAAGCTCCTACAGCCCTCCCCATCCCTCGCTTCCTGCTCGGGCAAAAAGAAAATGTTTAGCTACAGCTGCCATTGGTTGGCTGGCTGGATGGCTGGTTAGTTCGCTTGCCCTGCTTGCCACATTTCTTTTTCGCTACTCTTCTCAGCTCTCCTCTTTTTCTTTTTTTCTTTTTTTTTTCTACAATTGCGCAAAATTCCAATTTGCAGTAAATTTTGCGATTTTTCCTTTATACGGACATACAAAACATTTTTAGTTTCCTGCTGGCTTTTCTTACCCACCCACAGAAGGAGGGGCAGAGAGGGAGAGCGGCAAGGCAAGCCACAGCCCACTAGTAAACCACCCACGCTCAGATGTCGCCCCTAAACCATCAGCGCAGTCGGAGCTAGAGACGCTGCAGCAGCCACGCCCACTCGCCCACCCGCCCAGCCGCCTGACAGCGCTACATCTTGACTACTTATAAATGTTGTACATGCTTTTAATGGTAGCACGCTTGACCATCTGTTAAAAGCCTGCACTTGATTCGATTTGCCTGACACCATCAACTAAAAACACTTTAAATAACTCCAAACAAACTGAACTGAGACTATCCTATAGAGTGACTTCTGCTTAGGTAAATCATTTCCATTTCAGACGAAAGCTGAATATAACTTGAAGTTAACATGAGCATTACATAGCTAAAGCTGTTATTATTGCTAAAAATAACATAGTGAAGATCACAATAATCACCTCAAATCTCCTTCCTCCTTTATAAAAAACAACTCACAGAACTGTTAATCTCTAAAGCTAGCCAAGGCTTTTAACGAACACTCTCCCAGGCACTCTAGACTCTTTATCAAGCGCTCTGAATGCACTCAACTATCCATATAATGCAATCATTACTATCTAAATTCTCAGAGTAATGCATACATAACATACTCGTAAAACTATTTTAGAGAAGCTTTTTACTCCTAGATGAACGTAAAAACAAATTAGCGAAAGAAATAATTTGTTGTTTTTTTTTTTTTAACTAGATAAGTAATGGAAAACAATTGAAATATATATACCTATAAATT